CGCTATGTCACGCCGGTTGTCAGCTTACTGGTCCGCGGTCGCCGGTCGAAGGGTCGTTTCTCAGTGGTCATCATGTTGATCATTCGCGACTATTTAGATTTAGATCATAATAATTTTTTTAGAAACTCAAAATCTCAGTGTGGGGGGGGGGGGGGGGGACGGGGGGGGGGGGGGCGACAAGGTTTCATGGGGGGGGGTCGCCCCCCCCCCACGCCCCCCCCCCCACGCGCTGCCTCGGACCGAAGTACTCAGTGTGTATTTCTCCGCATACTAATTTTCTCAGCTATGACGTATTTAAACATAATGCCACAAAATTCATCGTGAATGGAATTTATCAATTGAAGAAAAAGAAAAACAAATTTGAAGGAATAGTCATTTCCAGATTGAGTAGCATCAATTTCAGAAAAAAAAATCCCTTTTTAACCACGGGAGGGCATTTTTGAGTAAAGTATCCATGACGTAGCACACGTGGCTCTCGTGTTCTTTCATTGGTCAGAACAATATAGGGTGACGTCAATTGTTAATCTAACTAATTTGATTGGACAAAGGAGTCTGGCAAAAAAATGTAAGTTGTAAATTGTTACCTTGCAGGGTAATGATTTAGATGATTTTCGGCTAGATTTGACAGACTGTTTGCAATAAGACCCGAATGTAGCAGAAAATCTAGCAGAAGGACAGTTTTAGCAGATTTCTTGCAGAATTCTGTAAAATCGGTGATCCTAGCTAAAAAATATAAAGCAATTTTTGAACACGCTTCAGTCATTTCAAACAAACCCTTGAATAACGGGGGTAGGCAGGCCTGAGTCCTAGCGTTGAGACTCCCTGACGAAAGGAAGGGCAGATCCATAACACAATTTTTTGGGAGGCCAAAAAAATGAAATTGTTGGTCCCCCAAAAGTGGGTCAAAACAATTTCGGCGATCTAAGGCAATTTCTGACAACTTTAACCAATTGTTTTTGAGGAAAAGATTGTGGTGAACGCAGGGCCTGCCTTTCTTGCGACGTCACTTTTTCTATATTTTCTCCCCAGGCTTTCCTAAGAAACCAATCAGCGGTTGAGAAATGGTTCAATTGCTCGCCATACGTAAGTGCGGATCGGGGGGGGGGGGGGGGGCAACGGGGGCCATGGTGCCCCCCCCCCAATAAAAACAAATAAACGAACCCAATATTTTTAAGTGCGTCGCAATAAAGGCATACAACGCCAGAAAATTGCCTTAGATCACACCACAGAGCATCTAGAATCAATAAGTTTTGTTCTGGGGCCTTTAAGCAGGCCCCGAACCCCGCGCTGTAATTTTTGGGACCGTATACTTTTTGGGGATCAACATTTTAGTTGGCCCCCACCAAAAAAATGGATCTGAACTGGTTCAATGGATCGGGCGCGACTACTCTGGCAAATGGGAATGTCGTTTTGTTGGAATGTATGCAGACGTCTTATTTACATAAAATGGCCACGCCCCCATTGCTACGAAATGACCTAGATATAGTGAGAGAAAGTAAAACATCAATAATTATGCAAGGGTGCTACACAACATTGCAACTATGGCTCTTGAACATTTTGGTGTTTGCGAAAAGCGCATTATAGACCTTTCTTTTGTTTGTAAACATTGGCGCCATTTTATATGGGCTGCCGCAAGCGCATATATTGAAGCCGTGGTTGGCAACATGTTTTACCGAAAAATTTCCCCCAAACGCCCTCAATACAAAGTAAAAAGGCATGTTTAGGAATTACGTTGTAGCTTTGTTGACAGTGTCGTATTTCCAACCATCAAATAATATTTTGGTTATCTGAAATAATAACTCTTCTTCATTTTTGCAGTGTTAGACCTTCCATAGTTTTGCAACCCGTGGTTGGCAAAAATGCAGTTTGCCAACCAAGCGTAGAAAGGTCTATTGTCATCTTGTCAAAACATTCCAGTTGGTCTGGAACTGAGCAATACACAACTGACAACTGTTGACGTCATGTATGATGAAACGATTTCTCATTTTGGGGATTTCCAAACTGTCAGAAATGTTGCAATAGATCCTATCGTATGAACTAATAAAATAATACATGTACAATACAGAGTATGCGCATGCGTGCATAATAATATAATTAATCGGCGGGGAGCATAGGGGTCGGCTAAGGACAGCCAATGTACAAAATATTAACTCACCGATTATTATGAATACATGCCTATTCAAAATGTGGCCCTAAAACGTGACTTTTGCTTGGAAATTTTACGGTAACAAGTGGCTTTCCATAGGCGACACACCCGAATGTCAGGTGATGAATAATTAACATCCCACGCCGGCCGGCCCGGCCGGCGCGGCATGGTCATAGGATGTTTTCCCGTCCCACTCACAGAGATTCGCCATTGTGATTCAGACGGTGCGCTGTCTGATGTAGGCATCCAAGGATACTTTTAAACTTTTCCGCTTAGAATTGGAAATCGTAAGTACAACTCAATCTTGCCTATCATAGCCCAACTATCTAGACTTTCCAGGAGAGTTAAAACTTGGAAGTTTTAGTAGCGAACTGTTGGTAATACATCTGGGTGGCCCGCAACCCGACTGAACCACCGGGCAGTTTGGCCTTATACTTATTTTTTGATCAAATCGTTCTTGATTTCTCTCATTTAAGTGAAACTTTGCGGCAGTTTGTGCATGATGAACTATTATTATTTCGCCAAAAAAAATGGGGAAAATCAGTCGCTGTAACTAGCTTGCCCACAGCCTGTGTAATTTCATTTCTTCCTCCCTAATCTGGTTTCACTTTTATCGACCATAATGACTTTTCAGGAAACTGCTTAACATTAATTTTCAAATCTGCTTAGCACGGACGCGCCCGTCCCTTCAGCTGGTTACCAGTCCCTCGAACATGTAAAACACCTTGTGGCTGGTACTCAGTAAATTTCGCTTAGTACATATTTTTTTTGGCGGCATGTTCTGCTTAGCATGCTTCCCAATTGGATCTCTTCCCTTTAATGCCTTTCGAGCTCACGAAAAAGAATGTTTAGTTTAACTACACGATTACCGCAATCGACCCATACCTAACTTCTAAGCAAATTGGCTTTATATTTTGTGCTTAATCTTATTTAAGTCTCTTTACCCCAACTGCACGTTCGAAAAGATGTTCTCTTGAATGACGTCAGAGAATTTCTCACTCGGGCAAAACCCCTGCCGTCTATTTGTGAACTTGGCTTTGTATGCATGCATACCTTTGACTTTTGTATAGACTGCAATCGACTAGTCAGTTTATTGCTTTCTGTCGATCGAAGGCAATTTGACAATGTATTGTGTGTGGCAAACCATCCATGGGCAAACCAACATACGCGTAACATAAATAGTTTGTAAGCAGTAAAGCATGCAGTCAAAAGTTATTCTGCTGTCTCAAAAGTGTGTAAAATCAAAGCAAGGCCACTAAAGACTAAAAAAACAAATACAAAACGGAAGCATAAATATGGGACTTCTAAGTTAGTATTCCTTGCCTTTCGAACTGTTGTCACATTATCTATTCCAGCAATGTAAAGAAGTTATTACATACACTTCGTGGACTAAATACATTGTGTTATTTTTGGCTGAAATAGGTAGAAGAGGCTCGTATAGATATTCGATTTTTGTACAATAAACGAAATGTTCAAAATGACTTCTTCATATGCACCCTTTTTACCCTCGTTTCAATGTTGAATCGAATTTGTACTGCCATGCTGTTTCAGGCCTTTTGATGGTGGTTTTCCAAAGTTTTGCTCATGAATTTCCATATTCATGAGCCGATCGAACAATATGTTTTTCTTATATAGTTGAATGCATGACGCCCAGCCAGGAATAGATCAGATTTCATATTCGAACTTTATGAGGAGCTGCGATTTGGAATTTTGACAGGAAGTCAATAAACTTTGCAGTGAATACCGAATTGACAATAAAAAACAGGGTCACTTGTGATGCGGAAATACACTTGTTCGAAAAAAAAGCTCACAAAATGGTGTCAGATTATTTACATTCAGTTCATAGGCATGTTTTATATTGCACAGAAAATTGGTGTGAAATTCGTTTTGCGGTTCGCTTTACAAAACTGTATAGAATACCCTGGATTTGATTTTAAAGCTGACTTAAGTCTTCTCCAAAATAATTATATGTTTGACCCCAACAATGACACCTACGTATCCTTTTTATTATTTTTTTCAGACAGATTGGTTTGAATCTTCTAGGCTTTGGCTGACGTGGATTCTTATATGATCGGATAAAGCTTGTTTAGGTGGGTAAGAATATAATAATCTACACAATTGTCGTAAACGAATTGGAGCAAATAAAACTGAACTTAACCGTTTTAAATTTTGAACAAATTGAATTGAAATTGACAATTAAAAACTTGGTTCTATAGGCTTACTTGTATATCAAAATAATTTTAATAATTTGTTGGTTTCCGCAGATTTGATTGTGACTTATCAAACATTACGTACAACTGCACAATTCATCGGACTTGGGAAAAAGCTCAGGTAAAAAGTCAACATCATTAAAGCTATTTTCTGTACCATTGCAATTTTTCCTCTTATCATTGTTGCAACACTAAACCTCAATAAGAGAATTGCCGGAAGAAATAAAGAAAAAAGCAGCATGCAGGTCTCATTAGTTACTCGGCGCATTGTTCACTTATCATAAATCTTATAATAATGTGCACTTCCATCAACAACATCCGTCCATTTCACAAAACTTTACAATTATTCTTTTCCCCAAAATATCAATCTTATCTCCAAAATAAGAAGTCTTAAACCATTCAGCTTAATCTTATCGGTCGTATATATCCTCCATATATATGGTTGACTATGATTTAAGGTTCATAACTAGGATTAATTGTTTGACTTTTTTGTGTGAAACACAGATGTTTGAAAGGACACAAGCGTTAAAAAACAATTTTAAAAAAATGCAATGGAAGATGATTTATCGGTAAGTGTTCCATGTTTGAATATAATAGTTACAGACATCACTGGTCGAGTGGCAAGGTTAGAACTCATCGTCCCGATGGAGGGTACGTTGGAGCTCCCAGCTGTCGGCCGACGGATGTGCCTCGGTACCCTGTATGATTGCCGCAGTCATCAAATCATCTCGTCTGGTACCACCCTTTGGGACCAAGAGACCATATCAGAAAATAAGAAGGTCAGTGAAAAGAAAAGTCACAAAGTGACCCTCGTGAGGTCCCATACATTCAACGACAAATGCAAAGCTCTTGAAGTAGACGAGTCTCTGAAAGCAAGCATTCTGGCTGATATAGTGCAACCGGCAGGCTCGGCTAAGTTTCTGACTGATCAGCCGCCACCAGAAGGCACGTGTCGCCTTTCTGTGCACTCCAAAGCTACAAACGGGATCGAAGAACTACAACTCAATCAACTGGGTAGTTGCAAAATTCTGAATTCAGAAGTGATCACAGAAGGGAATGCCACTCACGTAGTGGTGGGGATTTTGTATGGGTCCAACACTTTCTTTATCTTCGACAAAACTTGTGGGGAAGAAACAAAAGAAGATTGTCTAAAATCACTCATTCCCTTGGTGGGTGGTTTCAGTTCCGTTCCATATGAGGGGGAATCATCCACGTTTGATCCTAATGCAGCAAGTGGTGTAGAGTGCAAGGTTCGCTGTGATTTAGATGTAGAGGGTTGCCACTTTGATTGCAAAGCTGCTTCCAAGTTACTGACAGAGATACCTGATATGATCAAAGAAAATGCAGTTCCGGTAAAATTCTTTTTGTACCCATTGCACAAGATCGATTCAAGAGCAGCCAGGGTATGCAAGGCTATGAGCGATGGTCTTCTTTCACAGGCGCAAGAATTTCTGGAGGGTTTAGAGCGTTGTTCCGCGCGAGCCAGCGAAATGGCGGCCGATCCAGCGTGCAAAAAATTCCCACAGTTTGCCGAGAAGTTCGCGTTTTTTAAGCAAATGCTCAGCGAGTATAAGATGCACTTTCAGAGAGAGTTTGCGCTTGTGTTGCCCTCAATCCAAGGAGGTAGCGATGGGGAAAGCGTCCTGAAGGAAATGCTGCAGAACGCTGCAACAGTGTCGCCCTTCAAACTGGCCGAACTTGATGCCTGGCTTAAAAGCAAGCGCAAAGAGTTGAGTGCTGTTTGTTTGTACGTTAAGTATCTGCCTGACATAGAGATAATCAAGTCTCAAGAAAGCCTGGATGATATCCTGATGGACCCAAGTATAGATAATGTTGTATGCCTTACCTTTCGACTGACAGGGAAAGAGGACGAGTATCTGAGGTCCCTGTCTCAGTACCTCACCACGAAAAAGGAAAGCAACTATAGCTTTCACCAATGGTGTGACGAAGGTTCTGTGATGAGCTTTTTGAGAACCAAGGCGAGACTGTTCGCCGACTTCTTTCGCAGTAACCGTGAGTCAAAATGCACCAAGTTCATCGTGACTGGGTATTCTGTTGGCTCATCGGCAGGAGAAGGGGCTAAAACCGGTGGCACAATCTTATTGTACGAGCAAGGTATACTTGCCCAAGAAGACTTCGAGCCACCAAGCCAGCCAGGGAAGCCTAAGTGTGACGTCATGGATCATAATTCTATCGATATCTCATGGTCTCCGCCACAATACGGCCAGGACAGTGTGCAGAGGTACATCGTCAAATGGAAGAGGTTTGGGAAGAAGCAAGTTTTCTTGGATGAAGTTCGCACAGAAAAGGGAGATACATGTTTCACACTTAAAAACCTGGAACCCAATGAATCCTTAGAATTCCAGATCACAGCAGTCTGTTCTGTAGGCGTCAGTCCAGACAGTGAGAGCAGTTACAGGGTGAGGACTCTACCGGCCAGCCCGCCAGGGAAGCCAGAAGCGCGTCCTGCTTCAGCATCTAGCATTGCTCTTGAGTGGGAACATCCTGCTCAGTCAGGGAAAAAAGTCACCATCAGAAGTTACGCCATCAAGTATGGGAAGGTTGTAAATGGGACAGTGCCAAATTGGCAACCAGAAGAAGAGACTGGATCTTCGGAGGGAAGGTTCACCGTACGCAAGCTGGAAACCAACGTATCCTACGTGTTTCAGGTGGTTGCCATTTATGAATCTGGCGTGACTAGTCTCCCCAGTGCAAGCAGCGATGTCTGCGCTACGTTTCCTGTCAGCCAGCCAGGCAAACCGGAGCTGGGCAATGTTACGGCATCAAGTGTCGACATGAAGTGGAAAGGCCCTACCAAAATAGGTCAAGGCGTGAAGCTAAAGGAATATTTCATAGAATACGCCCAGCTTAAAGAACAGAAGGGCCCGTCAGCAGAACGGACGTGGGAACAAGTGCTGACCAACGGTATGGACGACGGCTATAACCTGACGGATCTACTGCCGAACACCACGTACATATGTCGTGTAGTACTGGTATGTGAGAATGACTACTTGACACCGAGTGAAACCAGTGTTCCATTTACGACGCTTCCGGCTGGCCCTCCGACTGACGTGACAGTTGAACAGATATCGGCGACAGATATCGAAGTCACTTGGTCAAAGCCTACAGTGATCAGCAAACAAAAAGTCATAAAGCACTACCGGGTTAAATACCAGATTGTCGATGGTACTGCTTCTGCTGAAAAGATGGAAATCAAGACCAACAACGACTCCTGCACTTCTACCATCAGCGACGCAACTCCAGAAACCGAGTTCAAAATCTGGGTGACTGCCGTCTGTGCTGAGAAGGACGAATTGGGCGAGAGTAGCAAAGTTGTCTCATTCACCACTAAAAAGCTTCTGAAGCATGAAATAAGAGTCAACGCCAAGATGTTGCAACCCGGATATAAAAAGAACGGAAAACCGTGCATCTTGAAATTCCCACTTGAAGAAGTGTGCTGCAGACCCCACGGCCAAAGTTTTAGCTTCGGTGAGCCACCGAAAATACAGGGTGTCGAACACAAAGTGATCATGGTGGTTGGTGTAACTGGCTCGGGCAAGAGCACCCTCATCAATGCGATTGCCAACCACATCTTGGACGTTGACCGGAAAGATGACTTCCGCTTCAAGATGGTCGATGTGAACGAGGCGAGAGGGTCTTCTCAAGCTTACAGCCAGACTCAGGTCCTCACATCTTACACTCTCTATCGCCACAATTATCTCAGCCTGCCCTACACTCTGACTATAATCGACACTCCCGGCTTTGGGGACACGCGCGGCATCGAACGAGACAAGGCGATCATGGACAAGATCCGAGAGTTCTTCTTGGATTCCGAGTCCCACGGTATCGATCACATTGACGCCATCGGGTTCGTCGTTCAGGCGTCCCAGGCTCGGTTGACCCAGACCCAGAAGTACGTGTTCGATTCTATTTTGTCTGTGTTTGGGAAGGATATATCGGACAACATTCGCCTTCTGGTGACGTTCGCAGATCAGAGCGAACCGCCTGTTTTGGCTGCAGTCAAAGCGGCAGAAATACCCTACACCGGTAACGCATTCAAGTTCAACAACTCAGCACTGTTTTCGGTGAATGCCAAGAATGACAGTCGTTCCAAAAAGAAAGCAGGCAAGGAAGAAAAAGGTGATGTGGTGGACTGGTTCTGGAAGATGGGTAAGGAAAACATGGCAGACTTTCTTCTCGAAATCCAGACGCTGGAACCCCAAAGTCTTGTCCTGACGAAGGAAGTACTTGAAGAGAGAAAGCGTTTGGAGGTGACGGTACAGGGTCTCCAACCTCAGATTAATCTTGTAATTTGCAAGCTGGAAGAGCTTCAGGCGGAACTTCAGCTTCTTCAGCAACATGAGGCAGAGATCGAGGCAAACAAAGACTTCAAATTCGAACTGGAAGTTCCAAAGTCCAAGATGGTTAAGATAACCGGTGGAGAATTCATAACCAACTGCAGCAAGTGTCACTTCACCTGCCACTATCCATGTCGTATTGCTGACGACACGATGAAAGATAAATGTAAGGCAATGAAATATGGATTTTGTACTGCTTGTCCACAAAAATGTGCATGGGATGTGCATTTCAACCAGCCTTACAGGTTTGAGTTCTATAGGGAGAAGGAACAGAGAACCTACGGAGAAATAGAAGCAAGGTACAAAGATGCATCGGGAAAGAAGATGACAGTAGAACAGGTGATTAGAAAGCTGGTCGAAGAAGTAAAAACGGTCCGCACGTGTGTCTACGAATTAGTGTCTGACACGCGTAAAAGTATCATGCGTCTAGAGGAGATTGCGCTGAAACCAAACCCACTGAGCACTCCAGAGTATGTGGACGTCCTGATTGAAAGTGAGAAACGCAGTCACGTGCCAGGTTGGCAAACCAGAGTAAACGTATTGCAGGAATTAAGGAAAGAGGCCGAAATCTTGGACAAGGTCAAGGATGAAAATTTCGACCCATTCCAGAACTACAAGACAATGTTCCAGCCTGCCGGAAAAGACAAGAAACCAAGTCTGATTGCAAGGATTTGGGCATCATTGATGCCACAATGAGCAATCTTCTAACCTCTGAAAAACCACAAGCTTACAACAAACGTGCTGTTTGAATTTCCATCCGTTTCATTGCTACTTTAAATCACCCAACTTTTGCTTCCAAGTGCGATGCATAATGATCTCATCAAGCAAGCTCAGTCCTGAATTGCGGCACATCCCACGTAATGGATCATCGTAGCTGGCAAACATTCGGAGAAAAACATGTGATACGTCTTAATTATATTGCCATTCCATTCTTGGCAAAACCAGGGTGTTTCCCCTTATTTCTATATTCTCATTAATTTCCCAGATCACAGTTGACTTGCAAAATTTTAACCAGAGTTTATTAAACAGTTAAATTAAATGACTAACACTGCAGCATCTGCAGTGCCTCTTTGCCAGCTGCCATGCTTGGCCCTCTGCCGCGCATCTGTTCTTTGCTGCAGCATGCAGTGAATCGTGGTCACGTGGTCCGTCACTGCGGTGTAATAATGCCGCTATGTACATCAGTCTGGCGCAGTTTGTTCCATGTAATCTTAAGTTCATGATAAGTCAAGTCGCCATGCGTGCGAGTGGCGAAAGTGCATATTTCAAATACACGTTACCACTGCGGCAAACTTTTTAGCCATTCTGAATCAATTTAATGCAATTATGTACGCTCTGAGACCAGCTTTACTAGGCCCGCTTTGTCTTTTTTGTTCTCCAAAGATGACAGATTTGATTAGAAAACATTGATATTATTCATAATTTCATATTACTGCAAAACCGGAGGCTTTTTTCGGACTTTGACTTTCTGTTGTGATTCTGACGTCTCAGTTAACGCGCAGTCAGTTTGGTCATTTTGTCAATCTCAGTCGACCCCCCCCCCCAAAAAAAAATCTGAAATACATTGCAAACTCTCCACTTGTTCTTTTGGCCAGCCAAAAGTTTGACGTAATTTGTGACGTCACAGCGCATCTTGCATATTATCGTGTCCTTTTTATATCGCAAAACTGGCTCTTGAATCTTTAGAATAAGCTCTTGAAAATATACATTTTTTTTGCATTTCTCAAGTCGCCATTATCAGGTAACCCTGTCAAGGCTAGGCAGACAAGCCGTACGAAGTGAAAAAAATGTAACAGGTTTTGCCGTATAAATACTTGTAATTGCTTAGCACAAGACGCACGCAACATGTAGACCAGATCCTCATGCATTAGTATATCAATTAATGAATTGTTTATAATCACGGCATGACTGTAGGAAATAAGATGTATTTTCCCATTGACATATGGTCATCTGATTCCAACGATAGCGAACGTTGGTATATTTAAAGTGAAATCATGTTTTCATTGCGATGATATGAATGTTATTCGAAAATCAAATGGTACCAATATGGGAAGTTTGCAATTTGAACGGTTGGATTGAAAAAGAGGCTATTAGCCTCACATTGATTGCATGATTTCGATTCCCAGCGAAGACCGATATTGACAGGAACCAGTTTCTCTTGTAAACGAATATATAATTTTGATTCCACATATCAAATCTGTGTAGCTAGGAAGAATAATGACATGTACATTTTAAAGGTAGTGCTACTTTAAAAAAAATGGATGTGAAGTGTTATATGTGAGGAACGTATAATATGGTAATCGTGAAATCGAATATATCATGGTGAAACATAATATTTGGAGTAGGATAGTATTGAAATTGTAGTCAAATGCTATGTCAATTTATTCCCGCCAATTAGAATTGAAATAGTTTTTTATATTATGCCAACTATTAATTTGTATACCCAGACGTATAGTCATTCATTGCTGCTGATGAAAATATCAACACAAGTATACGAGAATATTGTTATAGTTGATTACATTATGGTAGTTACGTGACCATTATACAAACGTTTATTGGAAAGTATGTTGTCCATGTAACCCTGCAGTAGAACAGTCATATTTGTACTTGCATACATTTACACTTGTTAATGCTTTTGTTATAACCCAATATTTAGTTTAAGTTGACTTCAATTTCATGAAAAGCAAATACTCAGTCTGTCTTTGCTGCGATTTAATACCAAGTTTCTGTTATCTAAATCGTGGTTTGGAAATCATCTATAGACGATACATAGCATAATTCATGAGAAAAATATTGTTAATTGGGAAGTGTTTATGTTATTCTTTTTTAGGAATGATTGCTTAAGGCAGAACAGAATAACAAAAAAATCAGAGTAGATGAAAAACAAAATGTGAACGCTCGGACGTATACGATCAATGTAACCCCGTAACAATCAATGTAACCCCGTAGTATAGTAGGCCTATATGTAGAATTAGTATGTCGAATATTCAAATATTTAGCATATTTGCATACAGTTAAATCTTTAATGGTTTCGTTTTGATTGTATTTAGTTTGATTGTAACGATAAAATTACATTTTTATTATTGCTGGTTTTTTTTGGTTTATTTTTTTTTGTTTCAATAATTGATGTCGAGTGTTTTAAATTGTGAGGATCGTATTGAATGAAAATCCTCGAATTGGTAACATCACGGTGAAAGACATATATTCGGAGTAAGATAGTAGAAACTGTAGTCAATTGTGTGACTGTGTGACTATTTACGCCAATTAGAATTATAATAGCTTCATAATATTGCCTACTATTAATTTGTATACTCAGACGTTTGTGATTTTGGGAGTAGATGCAACATATTTTTGATTTCGAAATCTAGCATAATACATGAGAAAAAAAAATGTTTAGTGGAGAAGTGTTTATTTTATCCTCATTTCATGCCGTTTTACCAATTACGGAAAAGTTGGAGTAGCTGGGTGAAATTTTATGTCACTTATTAGAAAGTATTTCTAAATCAAATCATTTACTTGCTGTAGTTTGATTTAATGCGCTTTTTAGACTTCACATTATAACACGAATGTTAAGAATATTGTTACATTTGTTAGCGTTATAGTTAAATTATACCCGTATGGTTAAAGCATGTAAGCCTATAGGGTACAGGGTGAGACAAAAAGAAAGTGACCTATAATGAGAAAAATAGTTTAACAAAAATTATGTGGCTCGCTCCATTTCATAAAAACTAATATGGGACAAAATTCATCTTATTGACTATATGACAATTTCACGTAATTTGCTATCTTCACAAGTTATGTCTATTTTAATGCAAACATTATAAAAATTCAGCTGTCCACCAATGATCATTTACTTTCAAATACAATGAAACAAGGGCGTTTTCCTACCTTCATGAACAGACACAAATCACCATCATTATTTCAGAAAAATATTTTCTCACTTTCAAAACACAAAGTCTAACAGTAAGAATTATGTTTCAGTCTTGACAAAAATCATACAAAAAAACCCATTTGTATTTGAATGCCTGTGTAAATCGCTGGTTCTCACTCAGCTCAATAACCTAAAATGGCATTCCAAATGGATTCTTTGAGTAAAATACGCATAACTTCTAATAGCATGGATCAATTTCAGAAATTCATGTTTTCTCAATGGGGGAAGAACATGCTCGTTTAAAATTTACTTCGTTTGGTGTGTCAAATTTAATTGATTTTGAAGGAAAACAATCAATAATCCGGGTCACTTTCTTTTGACTCACCATGTATACAATTAATGTTACCCGGCAGTATAAGTAGAATTAACATGTCGAATATTCAAACATTAAGCATACTTGCATAAATTTACAAAATGTTGTGGCCTTTAGTTTGATTGTATCAATTTTGATTAATAATATACTGTATTATGTAATGTCTTTGGCATTTAATGTCTTTATGTGTGTAACAGGAAGGGCAAAACATAATAAGGAATCACATCTCAGACTGAATTCTGGCTGTGATTTCTGTTTAAAAATCAAAGGGGAAAGCATAACATGGTCCTTGAATTAGTGCGACAGTTATAATTGATTTTCCCATTCACTGACCTTTGAAATGTGCCTATTTTGTGAGAAATTGATCATTCATCAAAACCAACGAAAATGGAAGGCTATCTGAAGCATTCATCAATTTGACTTTTATTACTAAACAATTTTCATTAATTGTTTAAATTTATTCTTTTGTTCCTCTTTCATTGGATAAGCACATAATACTCTTTTTGTTGCCTGTATCCAATCTGTATGACGACACTGGCCATGTAAAATATACTATTTGTTTCTCATCCAATCCGCTAAACTTTCATCAGTTTTATAAAATGCAACCATTTTGCTGAATATCATAGGAGGCGATTAACAGTCGTTCTATGCAGAAGTGGATGATAAACAAACCGTTATTTTATTGGGCCTTAATCAAAATGTTAAATCCAATTTGATTATTTCCATTTTATTATTAGCATTTAGACAACATTTTGTGATTTATTTAGACGCAGTAGAATTACTTAGATGCAGTAGAAGGCTTGCATTGCTGATTATTAAAAGCTTGCTTTAAAATATAACGCTTCTGTATCTGCTGCTTGTTTAAAGTGGTCCGATCTTTTTTTTCTTTGTAAAGTTTTGAGAAAGTGAATCAACGTTTTGTCCAGAAATAATATCAGAGTATTTTGATATATGTATGCAGATCCTTTATTTAAATGGAGGGGTGGCCGGCTGGGCGATGGAGGCCCCCACTCTGGAGGGGCAACACAACTTTCTGGAGGGGGGGGGGGGCTTAGACTTTGGCGTGCACCATTCCAAGTTTCGTGTCTTTATGAAATATGGACCTATTGCTACCAACCCCTATAGCCCTCCGCCGCGAGAGGGCGTTATCAGAACGAACCACTGAGGGATGCAAAATGCACCCCTGTATTAAAATTCACATAGACACCAGATGCCATGCCAATACTTCAAAATTCTTTTTAATATACTCAAAAATCTCACAGGTATTTAAACTGCTCAGAAAAATGATGATCAACATATCATCTTTCATTTTCTTTTCAAATTATGGTGGGTTGACCATTGACTTTTTGTGAAATTAGCACCCAAAGAAGACGACCCCTATTAGCCATTTTGAAAAACGATCCCTCCACAACATGGCAAAATAGCGCCACTTTCGAGCCCAATTGCATCCAA